GCAAATGTTGATGATTTGAAATCAGCACTCCAAGCTCTTTGTAACGGATGCATCTCGTAGTAATCAGCCACTTCGACTCCTCGAGCATCCCTTGTAAGTCAAATGACAGTACAGTTAATGTGTGTCAAATGGAACGAAGAGCACAATATAACCGCAGTACCTGATAAGTTCTGACGGTCAGGCTATATGTCCATAAATTTAGCAAATCGGCATCGATGGCATGCTCTCTGCATGCATAGCTCTTGGGACAAAGCTACATTTATTCGATGCTCTGGCAAAGGTTGGAAGCGAGAGTAGCCCCGCCACCGCTGCTCAAGTCGCAGATGAGAGCGGCTGCAAAGAAAGGTGAGAGAGAATAGGTACGTCTCAGCACAAATTAGATAGATTTTATTCGGTTCTCTCTACCGAACATTCTAGGTATGTGAAAGAATGGTTAGCTGCGATGGCAACTGCTGATATAATATCTGTCACAGAAGATGAGAAATTTTTCATCAAAAAAGAGAATATCAGTGTAAGCTTGGCTCTGTTGTTTATTTGTTCTGATATTATTGATATGAGACTAGTGAACCCCTAAAGGTGTTAGGCGGCACTGCGGTTCCCGCTATTTGATGTTTTGAATTGGCGTTACGATTCCTTATATTTTAGAAAAAATGTAGTGGACTGAGGGAAGATGCTAGTTGATGACGGTGAACTGCTCAAATTTGCTAGGTAGCAGAGGATATACAGGGTGTCCCGAAAGTCATGTAGCCTAATCTTAGTCTATACAATAATTTTGAGGGTAGAGCAAAAACTTACCTTCTTTTTATACATCTTATGATACATATCGTTGTCATTCTTGAATATCATTCTACCGCCATCCTTTCAAAGGATAGATGGGCACATACTACTCAAATCGCATCGAGATACAGCATTTATAAAAAATTACGCTTGAATCCTAACAAACTGTAAAAAGCTTTTTTCAACAAAGCATTTTTAGGTCCTGACGAGCACCATGGCGGTTATGGCAAATTCTCTACTTCCAAACTTTCTGAAACCATATGACAAGTTGTGCCAAGTAATTAAAAAGGATGGACCATTGGGTGAGGGAAAGTCTCGTCGTCAACACTTCACAAGCCGAAGTTCTATTCTGCTTCATTAGGACTGGACTACTCCGACTATACAGCAGAATGTTTTGATGTAATAGCTAAACTCAGTGAAGCGGCTCACATAGATCATCTTATCCCGCACATCATTCCTGCTCTTGGAGAAGATGTAAAGGTTCGGTAATAACTTTTTCCATAAGCATTTGAAAATAAAGCAGAGCAATAAAACAATTCTATATAAATATCCAGAAACGTCTGGAGGAGGGTGGATTGACGTGCTTAGACATCGGTTGTGGCAAAGGAATCCATGCTTTCCGTTTGGGTATGTTCTAGTTGTTCTAATTTTAAGAAATATAAAATGTCCAAATTAAAAGCGCGTGATAGAGTTCAGTATCCTTTACTCAAGCTTCCGTCTAAATGATATTCGGATCAAAACAAGCAATCAGTCTTCACAACATCTCAGACAACTGGCCGGAACCGCACAACATTTGGGGGAGTTCCG